AACAGATACTAAAATATTTACAGATGACATTATATGATGTCTGAAAACTGCTCCAAAATAATGGGTAGGGGTATAGTGGCGCAATGGTAAAATGTAACGCCTCTCTGGGGCTGACCTACATGTGAAGATTCTGGGTTCACATCTGTAGACCTCCCTGAGTATGTTGGACAAATGTGTGCCCATGATTCAGGGCTTGCTGAGACTGGGAGTGAATCCTGGTATCAAGACTCTATCGGGGGCTCTCTCTCTCTCTCTCTCTCTCTGTCTCTCAGAAGTACTTCACGATGGGCAAAGTATTTTTACAAGCAAAATGAGAAATAGCGATTGACTGTTTTAAAAAATAATTAGAATAATAATAATACTGATTGGGGAAAACACAGAAAAGATATTGAATGTTGAAGCAGGGAGATTAATGTCTCTGTATTGACTGACATGCATGATAGTCCCTTTTGAAAAAGCAATGTAATACACTGTAACGTTATATGTAATCCAATGTAATATAAAGAAGATTATGATGATAATAAAAAATAAAAGAAAAAAAGAGAAAAAAGTGCATAGGACAGTGATCGGGGCATGGTGAATGACAGTTTTCTTTCCCACTTCCTACAAGAGCCTCAAACAAAAAGGGAAAACAAAATCTACCCCCCCTACCCCCATGCTGGCACTTTCCTGGACTTCGATCCAGGTCTTCATGTCCTTCTCGTGTGCATTTGGTTGTGACCAGGTCAAAGCACTAACAAGGAAGTATGAAGTGTTGGGTGTTTTTTTATTTGTCTATTTGGTTTGTCTTTGTTTGTTTGTTTGTTTTTTAGATTTTTGCCATAGGACACATGCCCTCTCTGGAAAGAGACAGAGAGAAGAAAATGAAAAATCATCCCCCCCATTGGGGATGACCACACCACAATCCCTTCTCCTCCAGTCTGCTCTCGGGATTTTGGCCACACACGCACACATACCCACTGTGATTTTCAAGCCACCTGGTCCAGGACTCAAACTGTGCAGCTGGCCATGTGGCATCTAGCACCTTCACTTGTATTTTCAAGCCACCTGGTCCAGGACTCAAACTGTGCAGCTGGCCATGTGGCATCTAGCACCTTAACCTCCACATCACCTGGTGGCCCAAAGATTCTCTTCTTATTTTCCTCTGATTTGTAAGAGGTTTTCATTTTTGTTTTTGTTTTGTTTTGTTTCACTCTTCCAGAAATAAAACATAGCAATAAACATCTCCTTTCCCCCCCCCCCCCAGTGGGCACACGTACAACTTAAAAAAAAAAAAAAAAAAAGTAATAAAAAATAATAAAGTAGAATGAAGTAGGAAATAATATCTCCTTGGAAAATTCTTGCATATATGAGATTCATTTTAAGGCCATGTTGCATGCTAAAGCATTCATGATTTGTATGATTCCAGAAATCATCAGCTATAAATCTGATTTTCTTTAACAAATCCTTCTCTTATCAATTACTTGTACCTAAAAAATTTGTTTTGATTAAAAAAAAAAAAAAAAGACTTGATTAGAAATTCCTGTCCAAATACTTAGAAAGTCCATTTCCTTTCCTTCATTCCCTTTTAAAACAGCTACTTGCATGCTTGTATCTTGCCAGGATTTTCCGGAAGGTCCATTGGCAAAGTTGTGAGGCACTTGTACTAGTGACTTTAGACTTGGCTGCAGGGTATTCACATGGAATAGATCCAAACAGTCTGCTTGGGCTGCCTTTCACCTTCCCCAAAATAGCATTCCCTTCAATCCCACTGCATTGAAATAAAGCACTCATTTTTAACCACTTGTAAATAAGGGATAAAGACACAGACTGTTGGCTGGTGGCACAAGCCTCTGGTGGGCTCTTAAGCTTGCACAAGGTAGGACTTTCCCCTTCTGTAAATGAAGTCCTTCATGAAGAGCAATCACCAGACTTGGAACGAGAGGAGAGGTTGAGCCCTGACTGCCATGCAAGCTTGAACAAGCCACTCTGCTCTTTGAAGTTTCAGTTTCTTTATTTATAGAGAGTATAATGATGCTTGCCCCACTGCTCTCATTGAGAAGCATAATAATAATAACTGGAATTTATCTAATGCACTGAAATGTACAAAATGCTGCAAAATGTAATTATGACTTATCACTATTATTAATCAAAAAATTTCCTTCATTTGCTTCAATGAAGGACTTACTGTTTGCTTTACAAAGTACTGGAAGGAGAGTCCTTGACTCATGAACTTGATATTGTGTGGTACCCAGACATACACCACAATCTCTAAAATTACCAATGTAGTGTCTATGTTTTCTGCAAAATTTCCAAGGTGAAGGGAAATCCAAATTGTAGACATCATAATCTCTTTCAAAAGAGAATATTTAAGATGAAAATTATGTAAGAACAGAACTTACCAGGAACTGTGCTAGGCAATGGATAAAGACAAATAACATATATCCTTCTATCAAAGAAAAATAACGTGAAAAGGGAGAAAGCACATTGATGAAGTGTCATTTTAAAAATGTACTGTGGGGGCCAGCAGGTGGCACGGTAGTTAAGGGTGCTGGATTTCCACATGGGCGACCATGGTTCAAGTCCCGAACCTGGCAGCTTGCTTTCCCATTTTCTCTCTCTCTCTCTCTCTCTCTCTCTCTCTCTCTCTCTCTCTCTCTCTCTCTCTGTCCCTCTCTGGTCAAAAAATTTAATAAATAAATAAAGTTAAATAAAATAATTCTTCTAAAAAATGTGCTGTGTAGAGGTTAGCAGGTGGCCAGGTGCATAAGACACTGGACTCCTATACGGCTGACTACAGTTCCAGTCCAGGTTCCAGCAGCTTGAAAACCACACTGGGAGCATATAAAAGCAGCCCAAAATCCCCAGAGGAAAATGGAGAAGAGATTGTGGTGTAGTCATCCCTGCTAGGGGATGTTTTCTCACTTTCTTTTTCTCTACCTCTGTCTCTCTGGCAAGCACATGTGCCCTCATGCCCTATGACAAAAACTTTAAAAAAAAAAAAAAAAAACAGTACCATGTGATAATGGTATGGCAGCATGAATCTCAGCCTGGTTAGACATTTCCTTTTCACATATGCAAGTAGTTCTTCCATTAACAGTACAGTTTGAACCGTACATGAGTAGGAACAATCTGCTAGTCATAATAAATTTATGCTAGCTGCCACCCTGGACATGGCACCATACTGGGGAACTTAGAAAAATTTACAGAAGATGGTTCTTTCATTGGAAACATAAAATACAACATCCGAATCAAAGAAAGAAATTTAGGAACAGGCCAAACAACTGAAATTAAATCAAAATTATACAACAATAGAGGTGTCTCATGAGAATAGCCTGAGCCTTAAATCTTCAATTGAGAACATCATAACCAAGAAGTGTATAATTAAGGTAGACCACCTCTGGTGTACACAACTATTGGAATAATAACTACAAGTTGGAAACATAAATTTAAAGGCAAAATAAATTACCTTCATGTAGCACAAAGTAAACTTATAAAATGCATATAATAAAAAGTATCAAAAATGGATAAAAATTCAAAGGAATTCCAGAGAAATTCATAAATGATAGGCTTATAAGAGTTTCTAAGAGCAACTGTGTTGTCTGAGATTAAAGACAGACTATAGGGACCTGCAGTTAGAGTAATGGCTATGTTGCTGGACTCCCATGTAGTCGACCGCGGTTCGAGTCCCGGACCAGGTGGCTTAAACTCGCACCATGCGCATGTGCATGCGTGCCCAAGATCCCGAGAAGAGAATGGAGGAAAAGGGATTGCGGCGTGGCCATCCCCCTGGGGGGGTGGTTTCTCAGTTTATGTCTCTCTGTGTCTCTCTGTCTTTCTGGCAAGCACATGCGCCCTATAGCAAAAAACCTCTCCAAAAAAAAAAAAAAAATGACAGACTATAGAACTAACGCAGATTAATTCCTATTGCTTTGCTTTTTCTACAGGGTCTTGCCATGTCACAATCCTCCTGCCTCAGCCCCTCAGCTAGGACTATAGGTCCCACACCAGCTTTTACGGAGAATCGAACCTGGGCATCTCATGTGGCGTTAGCCTGCCACATATCAACATCAACTTGCACAAACTACACAGCTGGCCTAATTGTATTCTAACAGTTCTATATAAACTGAGAGGCAGATTACTCTTCGTTTATTTGTTGGTAGATAATGCACCATGACTCCACGTTCCTATTTTGGTTATGGTGATATTTACATATTATACATAGAATACTTGACTTAGATGCCTCATCTATGGTGAGTAGTGATAAACTGATCCAGTGTGCTGCCAGTGTAAGGAAAGCCGTTTGTAATATGTGACACTTTTCTAAAAGTAATCTGGAAAATGTTGAGTGCACAAAAGCAGAAAAACTAATGAGAAATTTGACCTCAAAACTGACCACAGCAGGGAAGCAGCAGTTAGCGTAATGGCTATGTCGCTGGACTCCCACATAGTCAACAGTGGTTCGCATCCCGGACCCGGTGGCTTAGAACTCGTGCCAGGCACGTGTGCGTGTGTGCCCAAGATCCCGAGAGGAGAATGGAGGAGAAGGGATTGTGGCATGACCATACCCCCTGGGGGGTGATTTCTCACTTTCTGTCTCTCTTGTCTCTCTCTGTCTGTCTGGCGAGCACACGCACCCTGTAGCAAAAAACCTCTCAAAAAAAAAAAAAAAAAAAAAAAAAAAAACTGACCACAGCCAAGAAACAAAAGCTAAAATTGACCAAACTGGATTTGTATTCCATGATCTTCTTGGATTCTACATTCATATTCAAAGTTTCTTATTTCAGAAAATACAGAAACGCAATGTGCTAAGGCAAGACACATGTAGAATTTCTTGTTAAAATATAGTAAACTTCTATCGAAACATCAGTCCTAATCCACAAAAGAATCTGCCAAGAGATTTCATTAACAAGAGGCTGATTGTAGGTACTTCTGTCCATCAACAAATCTCACAAATTGATTAAAATGCCAAAAGGACAAGGGTGAAACCAGATACAGCACAAAGGCTGAAACAGACTCACGGCAGTCTCTCTCGTCAGTTCCATCCGCGCAGTCTCTGACATGGTCACACCTGTATTCGCCCGGGATACACTGGCCATTGGAGCATGTTATCTGATCACTTGAGCATGTTCTCCCAGCTGTAAAAGAGAAAAATGATTACTGAACTTATAATTACTGCCAGACACTGACAGACTAATCTACTAACATTTACCAAATATTAATAATGAGGATATTGGAAACCAAAGGCAAGTGGAGTATATATTAAATGTAAAGTGTGGAAAAGTACTCAGCTCTCACCAAGCTGAGCTTACCATGTGAAAGAAAAGGCATTATATTATCAAAATACCCATAAAATAGTATCAATGCTCAAGCATGTTAGTGGAGACAATGTCATTATTATGTGTTGAGAATACGATATAGATTGAATAGCTATGTGGTACAAAGTATGAATGAAATAAGAATTTAGCAGATATTAACCAAGAGTTGGTAAGGTCTCCATCACTGAGATCCTTGTTTAAACAAGAAGAAATTATGCCAGGGTTAACAGTAGTTATTCTTAAGTACTGGGAATATGAGTGATTTTACTATTTTCTTTATAGTTTTCTCTATTATATAAACTGTTTACAATGACCATAAGTCAATTTCATTAATAGAAAAAAATTTCAAGGGCCAACCAGAGGCATGGTGGTTAAGGCAACTGGATCCCACATAGCCAACTGCATGCACAGTTCAAGTGCTAGAATCAGTGTTTTGAAAAACACACCAGGCATGTGTGCGCACATGCCCAAAATCCCAAGAGAAGAATGGAGAAGTAGAGACTGCAGCATGGTTATCCCCTAGGAAGCTCTCTCTCTCTTTCTCTTTCTCTTTCTCTCTCCCTCACAAGCACACACGTCTTATAGCAAATTTTTAAAAATTTTCAAGATGGTGTTATCTGTTGAAGATATTTTGATCAACTAGACTGGGGAGAAATGTTCACATATTCAAATGTTCACTTTGTAAGCTAAATAATGCGATTGAATGTATAAAAAATTTTCTAAAAAATTAAAAATATATAAATTTTTAAAAAATGTTTCAAGATAGCTTAATTTTTTTTATGTTTATTAGTATAGGTAAAATCAGGACATCTGCAATTTACCAAATTTGCCCCTGGATAAAAATCAAATGGAGTGATGCCCACAAGCACAATGTGAAACAGATCTGTAAAACTGAGTCAGAAATTAGCGTGACTTGAAAAAAGGGCTCTTTAATACCTGTCCAGGAAAAGCACTTGTGGGCGGGAGGGCACAACAAGAAAAGACAAATGAAAAAGGGGAGACAAATAATAACCAGGCAAAACATGTGCATTAAGGTGATGCTATTGCTGCTGTTCTGGAAACCACATTTTGAGAACTACTGTTCTAGCATATCTAATAATAATAATAGGAACTTTAGACCACAGTCCAGAGACAGGACTAAGAAGTTCTTCTGGTGGAGTTGGCATTGCAGAGTTCAAAAGAGAGAAAACTAAATCACATCCTGAAGAACAGGGACAGGGAAGACACAGAAAGGCACAAACCCAGACCCATCCCCACATGGATCCTGAACTTCAGCTGTGAAATATTGCTTTCAGAGACCTAAAATGAAGATTTTATGCTGAAACATCTCCCTCACTCATTTCTACTCCTACACACTAAGTGTCTAGACAGGTCCAAGTGAACAGGATCTAAACATCTGAATAAAAATTAGGGTCAGAATATTCCTCTGTTCCCACTGATTCTGATGCACAAAGAGTGAAAACGGAACGGAAGAGAAATTACAGATCTCCTGCACACCTCTGAACTGAGATTGAACTTCAAGAACTAGGAAGAAATGCACCAAATTAGGAAGAATTAGGAAGATGACCAGAAATCACCGCAGGGTCACAAGAAATATGGAAAAACAAGAAAATACCTCTCATCCATGGAAAAGTAATAACTCCTCTTCATCCTCAGACAGTATGATGAAATTCATGGAAATGTCAGATAAATAATTTAGAATTTTCATGGTGACAAAGCTCACAGAAATCAAAGAGAAGAGAGACAAAGAACTGCCGAAGAGACAGGAGAAAGGAGTTGATGAGTTCCAGGAGGTGAGGAAATTCTTACAAGATCTAAAAGAGGAAATTCACACTATAAAAAAGAATCAATTGGACCTATTAGAGATGAAGGCTATAATATAGGAAGTCAAAACCTCTCTTGAAAGTATTAAAAGCAGACTACATCATACCAAAAATCAAATCTCCGCGCCCTATAGCAAAAACCTCTCCAAAAAAAAAAAAAAATCAAACCTCAGATGTAGAAGATAGAATTGCTGGCCTAGAAAAATCCACCACAAAGGCTGAGAAAATTTCCCAAAAAAATGAGAATAATATATGAGAAATACTAGACACCATCAAACGTCCAAACATCTGGATAATTGGTATCCCAGAAAGGGAAGAGATTCATAAGGGCATTGACAATCTATTCCATGAAATCCTGGAAGAAAACTTTCCAAACCTAGGGAGGCATTCAAAGATCCAGTCCCAAGAAATACAAAGGACCTCCAATAGAATCAACAATCAACTAGAAATGAAAAATTATTGATGATAACATACATGAGTAAGCCACTATGCAGTATATGCTGGATGGGAAATCACATTTTGTATGTTGTGATAATGCTCAGGGAATGAATATAAATTAATTAACTAAAAATAAAATATTTTTAAAAAAAGAAATTAGCATGACTTGGTAGCATTCTCTTGTAATGGGCTTTTTTGGCCCACATAAAAGAGAATAATTTGGGAAAATGAGCTCTTCTCAAAAAGAATATAATTTGTAACAGAAAAAGGTTTTTCCCCTGAATTTTTATAGAGCATTCTACACTTCTCATATAATAAATATACTTAGGCTCAGCAAAACTTGGTTTTCTAATGAAATTAGGTATCAGTTAAAAGATGGGCCATCAAAACCTTACAAGGCCCAGCTACTGTGATACAGCAGTACCTAGTGGCCTACAAGGCTAAAAACCATATGACCAACCACAGGTTCAGATCCCCAGGCAGGCTTAAAAGCCCACCAGGCATGTGGGCACATCTCTGTAAAGTATTAATACTGCAAAGGGTCACCGCTGTGCACTATATCAAAATATACAGCTCAGTTTTCTACCCATTCTGCATAGGGAGCAAGAGAAAGTGGAACCGAAAAAGCATATCTAGCCAAAAGTAAGTGATCATTTTGGCACTCAATATCTATTCATTAAGAACCTATTCTAGAGGGACCAGCAGGGGCATGGTGGTTAGGGCGCTGAACACTTCCACATGGCTGGCAACAGATCAAGTCCCGAACCTGATGGCTTGCTTTCTCACTGTTTCTCTCTCTCATTCTCTCTGACGGATCAAACTGGAAAATTATAATAATAAATAAAGTTAAATAAAATAATTATTTTAAAAAAAAGAACCTACTCTTGGGCCATCAGATGGCATGGAGGTTAAGACACTGGATCCCACATGGGCAGTTCAATCCTCAGATCTGCTAGCTTGAAAAGCATGCTAGGGGGAACCAGCAGTTAGCGTAATGGCTATGTCGCTGGACTCCCACGTAGTTGACCGCAGTTCGCGTCCCGGACCCGGTGGCTTAAAACTCACGCCAGGTGGGTGTGCGTGCATGCCCAAGATCCCATAGATAGATAGAAAAGGAAAAAAAAAGAAAAGCATGCTAGGTATATGTGCATGTGTGACTAAAATCCTGAGAGACTGGAGGAAATGGATTGCAGCGTGACCATCCCCTTCCCTCAGGGTTGGGGAGAAGGATGTTTCTCTCCAGTGAGCATACACACCATATAGCAAAACTAAAAGAAAAAAAAAAAAAAAAAAAAGAACCTACTCTCTGCCAGACGGAACGTTAGATCTTAGGGATAAAGGTGAATAAAGTATAGCCACTGCTCTGCAGAGGTTCACCAATTATCCCTATCCTGTCCCCACTGAGACTTGCTACCTGCAGGTCACCCACATATCCCCTAGGACCTTTGAAAAGCCAGCTGGAAAATATCATAGCCCAGATAGAATCCCTAGAAATGTGAATTTATTTCTGCTTCCTACCATTCCTGGCATGTGTCCGCTCTCCCCTCAATACTCTGAGCTACCCGCTCCCATCTCTCTCAGATCTGGATATGCCTCTGTGTGGCCATGATTAACTCCTGCCATGTTTTCCTCAAACTTTCATTTGTCACCACCACCACCCTCCACAGCCCCATGTAGTTTGCTGGCCTCCTGTTTTCCACCCTGCCCCAAGGTGGACTGCCCTCAGTCCCCATGACTAGCCGTGATGGGCCCTAGCAGTCTATATAATTAAACAGACTTCATTTTAGACCTAAACCAAAGCTAAACTCTTAGATACTTTGAGAATTTCTACTCTCCTCAAAACTCTTGGCAGCCAATGGTCTGACTAGAAGGATTTTATACACAACACTGAACTCAAGTCTTGGGCTAAATCCCAATCTTTTAAAAATGCATACAGGACCTACTGAAAGCCACAGAATCTCCACTACTAATCATCAAAAGACTAGAAATGCTTGATGTATTTTCAGGCCAAAGGGGCCAGGGACTTGAACTGCAGTTGGAGCATGGCTTCCAGTTGTTCTACAGTCTGAAGTGCTACCAGCTGTGCTGCAGAAGCTAGGACCAAAAATAACTTTAGGTTATATGAATATCCTTAAAGGAGGAAGCACTGGATCACTTCCAGCTCCTTGGGTGGGATCCGGTGAGTAAGGAAGCATTGGAATGACACTCATGTTTGATAAATTGTTGACACATTGCCACTTTATATCTATTTTTCATCCAAAATCATTTTCAAACTCATTAAAACACAGTTTTAGTTTAATCCCAAAGAAATTAGATTTTAATGATCTATTCCAAGTTACTATCTGAATCCCCACAAGCTCCAGGAACGCTAGAGTTGCCAAGGCCCACTTCCTCGCTATTTTCTTTGTTGCAGCTCATCCCACTGTGGCAGTGGCACAGGGAGTGAAGTAACCACCAGCAAGGCCCCCAACAGTCCTGCCTTCTAGCTCCCATTTCCACTCAATCAAAGAAGAGAGCTTACTATCAGGGCAGCAGAGGAGGGATGTCTGAATGCAGAGTGTGCTGCAGGAGCAATGGACTCCTCCAACTACTGACTGTACACCTACGCATACCAATAAACGTCCTGTGTCTTTCTCTGTTGGTGATTTTATAAATAAGCCATGACAGTGGGCACATGCACATGAGAAAGAGAGAGACTGAGAGACAGATACCCTCAACAGGCTTTCATCAAGCCGTGATCCCCCTTCCCCAGTCCTCCAGCTTGCCAAGATCTTGGGCTCTTGCACACGCACCCCACACATTTTCAGGCCCACTCGGGGACCTGAACCTGGAGACCACCATGTGGCTTCCAGCACTGCTGTTCAGTTTACGACCAACTGTGCCACCAAACTGAGCCATCTTTCTTTCTTGTGCTTAACATAATCCATATGAAGACAGGGAACTTATCCCAGTGGAAATCACTGGGGTATAGCTATAATTCCCCAGTACGCTCATATTTTTATAACAGCCGGACCCCTCAATGTGACTACTGGCATAGGTTCCCTTTTTCTTTAAGACCCAGTTCACCATTTATAAAGAATCAGTCCCATTGTGTGTAGCCTATTTTTGACAGGTTAAATTTTAGGTGTCCAAAGATCCAAAATGAGATTCAGCTCTGAACACTTACAGCAGTTCTGTTGTTCATCTGAGCCATCTTCACAGTCTTGCTCATAGTCACACACCCAGGACGTAGGGATGCATTCCCCTCCACTCTGACACTGGAAATAGCCCACCTGGCAGGAATGAGCTAAAACAAACCAAAAAAGAACTCATTAAGGAACATCCACACTCCAGCAAGCAATGCTTAATTCAAAAGAATCTGTGTCAATCCTCTCAATATATTTGAAGGCAAATAGTAAACAACGCTGACACTAGAGTCTGTGGGCTCTAATCAAAGTTCACTATCAAATCATCTCAGCAATGGTACCACAATAAACTGAAGATCAAAAGCAGTATAAAAGCCCAGAGAATAAAACAAACAGCCCCAATACACATATATACACATTATGACAAAAATATTAAATTAAAATTTTAACTTAAGTAAAAATTAACCATGAGTTGTTAAATTATTAAAACTACTAGTGGCCAACAGGTGGTACGGCACTTAAAGCACTGGAGCCCACCTAGCCAAACTAAGCAGTTCAAGTCCCAGATCCAACTACTTGAAAAACACACCGGGCACATGTATGTGTATGTCCAAAATCCTGAGGAGAATGGAGAAGAAGGGATGGAGACATGGCCATCCCACTGGAGAGGTAATTTCTCACTTTCCTTCTCTCTCTGTCCCTGTTTCTCTCTAGTGAGTATATATGCCCTCTAGAGAAAAAACTAAAAAGGAAAAAATATTAGAGCCATTTTGTGATAATTAATAGTAAAACATCATGATAAATAGAAAACTCATGAGATTTGGAAAAGACCCAAATGCAAATAACTGTGATTTTTCACTATTTACTTTCTTTAGGATCTTTGGCTGATTCTCAGAGCCTCAATGTGTGCAGAATAAAATGGAGACTATACTATCTCGTGCTTTGTTGTAAAAAATAAATTAAACCATGTATGTGAAAGCATCATGTAATGTTAATTTCTAGCACTGTTGTTGTTCACATTGTTGTTATTATTATTGTAGATCAATGAAATATAATCATCTCTGGTACTTTTTTTTAAATGCTAGACGGTGTGTGCCCTCACCAGAGAGACAGCAAGAGAGGGAGAAAGCACCCCCTAATGAGGCATTGTCATGCCACAACCCTGTCTCCATTTCTCCATCCTGTCAGGATTTTAGGTATAAACACACACACACACACACACACATATGTACACCACATGTCTAGCATGTTGTTCAAGCTACTGGAGCCAAGATCCAAAGTGCAATCCACCTGTCAGTATCCCATTCCATTAATCACTAGGCTACATAGCCAGACCTGAAACTTTCCACTTATTTCTTTATCTAAGACTGCACTATTCTTGCCCTTTTTTCTCCTTTTTAGCCAAAACAGAGCTCAGTAAATTCAGATAGACAGCATGACCATGTCTCTACAATAAAGCGTTTCTTTGCTTAAACTGTGATCCACAGACTAGTTGCAACACCATCAACTGGAAGTCCGTAGAGATGCAGAATTTCAGGTGCCATCTCAAATATGTGGAATCAAACCCTGCACTTTAACAAGCTCCCGGGTGATTCATTTCTGCATGAAAATAGAGAAGCCCTGTATAGGACCTATCCCTATTCTTTCTCTCATTTTCAAATGCATCATCAATCCAAACAACACAACAAAGTTTGACCATTCTGGTTGCCACAGGATAGCCAACAATTAAGTTTTCAAAACAAATTCAATGTTTTCATAGTTATTGTTGTTGGGATTTTGTTTTGTTTTGTCTGTTTAATCCCAGAGAGTGTGCTTGCACGCACAAGAGAGGAAATAGGTCTTCATCATGCTACATTTCTTTTTCCTCCAATTCTCCCTCCCCTCAGGATCCTGGGCACAATGCCCAGTGTGTTACTACAGGGTCAGAATCCCAAACCCTAGACGGCCATGTGGGATCCAGCTTCCTCTGCAAAGCACTTAACTGCTGCCCTAAAAGGGCCAGAAAGGGCCCACCCCTTTCTTGGTTTTTGAATGGTAAGCCTTGTCCACTCAACTATCACAATTGAGGAAACTGTGATAGTTTAATTGATTACCTATGGCAAGTTGGAAAGAGCAATTTTCATTGCTTAAAGATTCAGACTGGTTCACGGCAGTCACCAACTGCCAGACTACAAGGCTTTTAACAAGTTACCTAACTTCTCTAAGCCTCAGTTGTCTAATCTGAAACCTACCTCAAAATATTTCTAGAAAACTAAATGCAGAAATATATGTGAAACTTGGGACTGGCAGGTGGCATGGTGGTTAAGGGCACTGGACTCCCACGTGACCGACCACAGTTCAAGTCCTGGACCTGGCGGCTTGTTTTCTCACTTTCTCAATCTCTCTTTCTCCATCTACTACTCTCTGGTCAAATTAAAATAAAGTTACATTGGGACAGCAGTTAGCGTAATGGCTATGTCGCTGGACTCCCACATAGTCGACCGCAGTTCGCGTCCCAGATCCGGTGGCTTAAAACTTACTCTGGGCGCATGCGCGTGCATGCCCAAGATCCCGAGAGGAGAATGGAGAAGGGATTGCGGCGTGGCCATCCCCCCTGGGGGGGTGATTTCTCGCTTTCTGTCTCTCTGTCTCTCTCTGTCTGTCTGGCAAGCGCACGCACCCTATAGCAAAATCCTCTCAAAAAAAATAAAATAAAATAAAGTTACATCTAAAAAATGAAAAAGAAAGAACTATATGTGAAATTGATTTTATAATTAGTTAAATTGTGGATTTACTATCTTACATGTATTTAACTAAAATTTTTTAAAAACACAAAACTGCACTGAGCACTTCTGGGGTTACCTCATGGTGGTTCACACAGGCTACACTATATCCTTTACATAAAATTAGACTCCTTGAAATACGAATCGCAGTAGTTCAGATGAAACTATTTTGCTTGTTCTTGTTGGTGCACAAAATTCAAAGTGTGGATATAAAAAATCATCACAGGTTTCAGAAAATGGACCTCAAATTTGTGTATTTATCAAGGTCATGGTCACAGAAAAAGGATAAGATAGAAACTGATATATTAATAAACTGAATTCCCATCTCAAAAGGAATTTGGTTTTTCTTTTTTAACTAGGCAGGGCATGTGCATTGGGAGAGGATGTGTCCTCTGGGGCAGGGAGAAAGCACCCCCCAGCGTGGTGTGATCACACGGTCATCCCTTTCTCTCCATTCCTTCATCCTGTCAGGATTTGGGACACACACACACACACACACACACACACACACACACTGAGTTTTTCAAGCTGCCGATCTAGTACTCACCTACTTAGTCAGCCACGTAGGACCCAGGGCCCTTAACTACCAGGCCACAGACTGGCTAGTCAGTGAAATTATTAGTGCCATCAATTCTCTGTTCAACCACACAGATCTCAAACTTGAGCCTAGAACCAGCAGATGGCGTACTGGTTACATCACTGGACTCACACATATTCAACCATGGTTCGAGTCCCAGAACTGGTGACTTAAAATTCACGCCAGATGCATGTGCACTCATGTTCAAAATCCCGAGAGGAGAATGGAAGAAAAGGGATTGCTGTGTAGCCATGCCCCTAGGGGGTGATATCTCACTTTCTGTCTCTCTTAAAAAAAAAAAAAAAAAACTTGACCCCAACCCTGGGTCTGTCACTCTAGGCAGGGCTCTTCTTACAGGTATCAGCTTGTGATACCAGCACTTATGTTACTCAGACTGGAGCTTAGGTTGGCCACTCCCCACTTACAGCAGCCAGCTTCATCAGAGTCATCCGAGCAGTCTTTGGTCCCATCACACCTCCAGGCTGAAGGGATACAGTGCCCATTTCCACAGCGAAAATGCTGATTGTCACATTCTGTAATACCACAGCAACAGAAAAAGTCAATGTCAAACTTATGCCATTCATTGAAAAAATGTAATTCTTTTTTACCAAAATGCAATTTTTAGAATTAAATTAGGAAAGCATTTTTTCATATGCTAATATATTTGTTTGGAGCTCTGTAGGAAGGTCATTTTCATAAACAGCTGTTAAGAGTATACCTTGTGGGACCAGCAGTTAGAGTAATGGCTATGTCGCTGGACTCCCACGTAGTAGTCGACCACGGTTCGTGTCCCGGACCCAGTGGCTTAAAACTCACGCCGAGCACGTGTGCGTGCGTGCCCAAGATCCCAAGAGGAGAATGGAGGAGAAGGGATTGCAGTGTGGCCATTCTCCCTGGGGGGTGATTTCTCGCTTTCTGTCTCTCTGTCTCTCTCTCTGTCTCTCTCTCTGTCTGGTAAGTTCAAGAGCCCTAAAGCAAAAACCTCAACAAAAAAAAAGAGTATACCTTGTAATCGACCTAGAAAGCAATTTTGACAACATATATCTTGCTTTATAAAAATGTTTGTTTATCATCTTAGTGTTTCTACTTTGGGGTATTTTCTCTAAGCAACTAACCAGAGTGCTCAACAAAGATTTTATGTATAAAGATATTCTTCACAACGTTATTTATAATAAAGGAAAGTATAAACTTCCTAAATCTCCAATAGTAAGAAAAGGATCCAATTTTCTTACATCCATATATTGACATAGTAGGAATCTATAAAAATGATTATGAATAACTTCTAAATATTTTTGAAAAATATAATATAACATAACAAAGACAAAGAGGCAAATATTTACCTGTAACAAGACTCAAATATGGGGAAATAAGGCATTTTAAAAGGAGGCCAGCACGGGACCAGGAGTTAGCATAATGGCTATGTCGCTGAACTCCCATGTAGCAACTGCAGTTTGAGTCCTGGACTCAATGGCTTAAATTCACGCCGGGTCCGTGTGCTTGCATGTCCAAGATCCCGAGAGGAGAATGAAAGAGAAGGGATTGCGGCGTGGCCATCACCGCTGGGGGGTGATTTCTCACTTTCTATCTCTCTGTCTCTCTCTCTGTCTTTCTGGTGAGCGCACGCACCCTACAACAAAAACCACTCCAATAATAATAATAATAATAATAAATAAAAAAGGCCAGCAGATGGCATAGCAGTTACATCGCTGACTCCCACATGGCCGACCACAAACCATGATTCAAGTCCTGGACCCAGAGGTTTGAAACTCATGCCAAGCACATGTGCATGTATGCCCAAGATTCCAGGAAGAGAATGGAGAAGGGATTGTGGCATGGCCATCCCTCCCGGGGGGCATTTGTCATTTTCTCTCTCTCTCTCTCCCTGGTAAGCACACACATACTACGAAGAAAAGAAGAAAATACTACGAAGAAAAGAAAAAAAATCTCTACAAAAAAAAGGAAAAAAAAAGGCCAGAAGGGTAACAGTGGTTATCTCTGATTGATAACGTCAGGAGTAACTCCATTTGCTTCATTGCACCTTTTAAGTTTTCCATCCTACATTCATTAAAATGGCATTTTATTTCTAAATCATTTATAGCAAATAATAGCCTTTCATTCTTAGATTTGGACCAATGTGTTGACTTTTAGGGGAAAAAAAAAAAAAACACTAATTTTAAGTTGCCAGATCTGTAAGTCCATCTCTGCAAACACATTTTTAAAAAACTAAAAACAAACTCTCTGCAGCCAATCAGACTGTGTACACTTGGCACCAAGTATCCCTCAAGTGGTAGAGATATCCCCTAGTGACACTAGGAAAGGAATACAACTTAAACAAGTTCACTTCGTTCAGCAAATATATCCTGCAATTTTCCTAGGTCTCTCCAGGGCACTAATTTGGTAGCTGGAAATCCTCCCAGCTTCCCCAAATATCTGGCCAGTAACCTTCCCCAAGCACTGTTTGCCAAGTAGGAAATTTTTTTAACAAGAGCAGCCAACACCAGCCCAACTTGGAGAAGACTCAAAATTATTCTTTCACAAACTCAAGGGATAGAGTACTTCTCAGAGTTGGAAGAACTACATTTCCCCCCCTTATTTAAGTAATCATGCTAAATTACCCAATTTCAATTTTTGGTTAATTAACCCAAAATTAGGTAAATATACAGATCAATGACCTACTCCCAAAATAAATAAACAATGTGCTATCCTGACTTGTGCAAATGCAGGCATATCGACAGCATGATATAAACATAGTTAAGTGATCTATTCCTAGGCAATATAGGCTACTTTGTTCATGGAATGTTCAAATCTGATTGTCTGGTAGTGACATCCTGATTTATAATGTATGCTGCAAATGGTCAGAAACTTCCCTTGCCTAAATGGTGGTACCGAGTGGTACAGGAGCACGTACACCCAAATACCTTCTATAGACTAATGCATGATGGTGGTTGGTGGTGCAGGTCTGGGGTTGGTGCTGCAGGTCTCTTATCAACTACCTTTAAAACACAACAACCTCCCTTGCAAAAATGCCCCTAAGGAATGTACAAATTCACTCTGGAATCCCAGAATTTCTCATTGGATTTTGTTCTACAAAGCAATATTTCCATGAGAGATTAGGGGCTTTGGAGGTTTAGCTATTAACACAACATATATTAAATCACTTTTTATCAATTAGGTCTATTGTTAGAAATTCAGCATAATACACTTGTACATTTAGGACATTTGTCTCACTTGATATCTAAGAACTTCTGATCAAATAATTATAACATTCATAAAGAACAGTTCACTTGCAGAGTTTCATATTGCTATAGGAGAAAGAAAAGCTTAAACTTAGAGACAGAGTCTGTGGAAAAAAATTCTCTGGATAATATAGAGTCTGTTTTGAAAATATGTATAATTAACACTATTTCTTAAGCAACTTTTATTAAAATTCAAATTTTGAGAGTACTGCTTTTTCTAAAATACCAACTAAAATATGTCATGAAAAGAACACAAAAGAGAGATCCAAAAGTCATTTTTAAAACCATTTCAAAACCAATTATTTAAAAATTGCACTCATAAAAATTAAACTGATGGGGAAATGTTGCAAATAAGTAACTTTTTATAGAGATTTTCACATTTGATCTCCTAATCTCTACAATATTTGAAGCATTATATTAAATCTAATTCCTGCAATTTATCAAGAGATCCACAATAATTCATTTGTCACCTTTTCGATAGTAACTTTCAGCCTGTTATAACAACCAAATGACTATTGTTTGGAAATATCTCTCCAGAAAAAACAAACTGATACTTTATCATTGCTGGATAGCCTCTCAGCAACCAGCCACAATGCTCCACTGGTATCAGGAAACTGTCATTCATTCTTTTATAAAGGGAATCCGTGTTGCTTAAAAACAACCTGCTAGTGAAAAGGTCTAGATTAAGTCCGATAACTATTGCAGGTGCTCCCAATTTCAATTGAACTTTATTTTCTGAGAGTCTTATTTTAAATAAGTGGCCTTTATGCATTCAAGGCCATCCAGATAGTATTCATGTATTATCTATATTGTTCAATTATTTGAAGTAAAAACAAAAACCAAAAGGAAAGTGAGGGGGATAATTTTATACACTGGAGACACCCACAGAGTTTAAGGAAGAATAAATGTTATATGTTTTTAATCTTTTTCCAGAAAATATCCTCAACAACTAATACAGTGTTTTCTTTTTCTTTTTCTTTTTCTTTTTTTTTTTTTTTTTTTTTTTTGAGAGGTTTTAGTTATAGAGTGTGTGCACTTGCCAGAGAGACAGAAAGTGAGAAATCAGCCCCCCTGGGGGGGAGGTCACACACAATCCCTTCTCCACTTTCTTCTTGGCATTTTGAGTGTGCATGCACACACACCTGATGTGAGTTTTAAGTTGCCAGGTCCAGAACTCGAAAGAAAAAAAAATTTAAAGAGAGTTTTTAATATCTTCAGGAAAATTTACATTAGACAAAGAGATAAACTTATTTTCTAGCCTTATATAAGCCCAAAGCCAGAAAAGGGGGAAAAAAAAAAAAGAAGAAGAAGAATCTAAACTTAAAAAATAAATAAATAAATAAATAAGGCTTAATCCTTTTTTCATAAATAGCTATGCCCCAAGATTCCTGGTCTAAATGTTGAACTAAGAATGTGTTAAGATAAGATATTAGAGTAACAGATAGTGCCCAGAGGAGGGAAGGAGCTGTTTGTTTGTTTTCCAGGGCAGGGAACAACACTGGACTGAGAACATTACTCCTATGTCACTTACAGCCTCCAGAACAGGGTTCATTCAGCACGTGTGGAATAGCAAATGCAATACTCCTCTGTTAATGAAGATTCCATTTTGTAAAACTCAGTCTGCTGAAACTATTACATACCAGAGACATAAAACCATCTAGGCAAACAATGAGACTTTAAATAGGGATTCACAATCTTAAATCCATAGAAAGAAAATGAAATCTGAAATAATGTGAAATAAGAGGACTATTTTAAGACAGACTATTTAAAACAGAGAGAGAGAAACATCAGGTCATATTAGTAAGTTTCATTCTTGTGTCCTTTCATTCTAAGAGTTTCTTTTCTTTTCCATAAATTCTCTTCCTAGAAGAGAAAGGTGAATGGTAGTCAATGGAACATTGTCCTAAGTTAACAGGGTAAGGTAATTTCTATAGCAAATCCTATTTTCCTGCCAGATCCTCTTAATACATGCTGGTCCTTCCAAATATTTGTTCTACCTGAAGAGGTACTTGCGATCTTTTTGAAAATGTTTACAACTAAATCAGGGGTTGAGAGGTTTGGTCTTAGTGCGTGTGCACTTGCCAGAGAGGGAGTCAGACATAGTGACACTGAGAGGGAAAATGGGAAATCACCGCCCCCTCAAGGGGAAGGCCATCCATCCCTTCTCCATTCTCCTCCCGGGATCTTAGGCGTAGACTAACAGGTGCCAGGAGTGATTTTCAAGCCTTCAGGTCTAGAACTTGAACCAAGGTTGACCATGTGGAAGTCTAGTAACACAATCATGCCATCCACTGACC